GCCTTTCTTCTTTCTTCACAGTAATTACTATCGAAAATACCCAGACAATTGAAGCAAAATCCTAATCGTTGATATTATAGAAAATATCCTGTTCCATTTCCTTTAGATGCTTAATTCTCTGGTGAATAGGTCACACATTTGTGGAATTGATTGGATGATGGATGATTCGATGACTGGTCAGTGGTAGGTTGATTTTTAGAGAGGAAAAGTAAGACTCGTTGTCCACAGACATCATGTATTTACAACCTTCCACACTTTGAGTTTAAAGATCTAGATTTTAATGGCAGGTTTTTTACAGAATAAAATATGGGTATCTTGAGTGGGGCTGGCTTAGTTAAGCCCAAATGAAGTTTAAGATTGAATGAAGAAAAAAAAAAAAAGACAAGTCAAGATCATTACCTTTGCTACTTGCTCTGGGATGTGTTTCTCAAATACGAATTTAGATTAATCCATCCTTGTATCAGTCTCCCACACATACCTACACACTCTAGCAGCTTCCTGTCTCCCCTTTACCCCCACTGCACTTTTTTTTTTAAGATTTTTTTTTTTTTTATTCGTACAGAACTGGGGTACAGGCCAGAGATGTGGAGGGTGAGAGGATTCACCAGAGACAGAGCGGGGAGCAGAACAGGCAGATCGACGAAGTACAAGCAGCAGGCGGGTCAGGAGAGGTCTGCCACACCATGTGGGTCACGTCTGGAGCAGGGATTGAACTCATGATGAAGTGGCTTTAGCTTTTTAGTGCTGTGTTTTAACCTACCGTGCCATCAGGGAGGGCCCCATGCTCTTTTTTTATCAATATTTTTTCATTCCAGAAATTTTTATTTGGATTTTACTGCATTTATAGGTCATTTAAGGGAGAATTGACATCATAACAATTCTAAAGCATTCAATTCATTAACATGGTTGTAAGGATAGAATTCTCAGATGACACCAAGATTCCTAATCTTGGCATAGCAATTTGAATATATTTCCCGTTGGGTGTGGATTGGTGAATAAGGAATATTTTATGAAAAAGTAAGGCATTCTATTAAGTATATTTTTTGAATCTTTGAAAACATTTTATTGATTTGCAGTACTATATATTGTCAGGAGTACATCTTCATATCTCTATTTGGGTATAAACTTCACCTCACCCCTTACACGCACACCAAAATACTAACACTGCTTCTACTATCATATTGACCCTTCTGCCCTTCCTCTGACTGACCACCCCGCCCCCCACCTGTAACCACCATAATTTTCAAAGTCTAAAAGTCATTTTGTTGTGTTTTGTTACTTTGCTTGTTTTGGTTATAGTCCACATATAAGAGAATCTATTTGGTCTTTCACTTTTTGACTGATTTTACTTGGCATAATCAACCTCAAGTTTCATACAGACTTGTTGTAAAAGCAAGATGTCATCATTTTTAGTAGCTGAGTAGGATTCCACTGAATATATAAACCACAACTTTTTTATCATTTGTCATTTGTCAATGAACATTTAGATTGTTTCTGTCTTGACTGTTATGACTAATGCTATTAACACAGGGAGGCTTATATCTTTTTGGATTAGTCTTTTGATGTTCTTCAGATAAGTGTCTAGGAGGGTTATTACTAGATCCTATGGTGGCTCTATTTTTAATATTTTAAGGAACCTGCATGTCATTTCCATAGAGGTTGCACCAATTTACACTCCCAACAGCAGGGTACAAAGTTCCTTTTGCCCCACACCCTCACCGGCTCTTGTTTCCAGTCTTTTTGGCATGGGCCATTGTGAGTTTGATTTGTATTTTCTAATAATAAGTGAAGCTGAGCATTTTTTCATGTGCCTGTTGGCCATCTGTATGTCTTCTTTGGAGAAGTTTCTATTCGGTCTTCTGCCCATTTTTTGATTTTTTTGTTGTTGTTGTTGTTGTTGTTGTTCTTGACTTGTGTGAGTTCTTTATATTTTTTGGGATCTTAATCCTTTGTCAGAAATATGTATTCAGATATCTTCTTCCAGTCCTTAGGTGACATTTTTGTTTTTGTGGTGGTTTCTTTTACTATAAGAAAGCTTTTTTAGTTTGATGTCATCTCATTTCCTTACTTTTGTTTTCCTCAGTTTCTTCTCTATATTTTAAAGTGATACGGTTTAATGCAAACTCTTCCTTCCCACAACACTTAGAGCACTTCCTGCCAAAGCTCCATTTTCTACTAAGTGATTTTGTATTTTAGCTTGACCTCAGACTCACCTACGTTTGTGAATTGTCTCTGAAACTGAGTTTTATTTCTCAGATTCCTGAGGTTGAGGAAAATGGTCACAGAGTTTGGGAGAGGGAGAGAAGGAAGGACCCCCATTTTGGGTTTTGTCTTCCAGAATTCTCTCCATTTTCCTAGTTCGTCTAATTTCAAGGTCAATCTCTTTGAAGGTATTTCCAGGTGCCCTGTGGTTTCCATGATGACATCTTGTGGTCTTGTTCCTAACAGTCCCTTTTGCTAACAAGCTTGTCTCAAAGGGGAGTAGTCATAGTAGGAGGAAGGAACTGGATGCCCAGTACCCAGAGCAGAAGTAGACAAGTAGAGTTGTATGGGACCACTGACCCCTTTAAGGAAAAATTGGTCAATGAAATCCTCGCACACACTCTTTCCTTGACTGTATAATACCAGCTGTTGCTTTATTCTATGTCAAGAGGAAAAGGTGAATACACACATGTTGATTAGACCTCTCAATTGATTACTCATTCTCCATTTGGAAATCATTACTAAAAAGTTCCTCAAAAATTCCTAAAATTGGTTGTCTTCAGCTACATCAGAATTAGAACCTATGGAGAAAATACTTTCATATTAGTTTTCACTTTTTTAATTAAAAATATATATGATATATATATCATATATATCATATATATGAACTTCATTTCCTATGTTTGATAGCCCCATAGCCATAGATGCTGGGATAACTTCCCCCATTCCTCCTTCCATGATCCGGGGGAGGGAAATTTAAACATCCTCCTTTGTTTGCCACTTTGTTTTCCAGTGCTCTACCTTGACCACTTAGTGCTCTCTCTGAATAGCAATAGGTCAGGAATACTGGGCAGCTACGTCAGAGAAGCCTTGGCGGGAAACCGGAACAGCTGCACAGAATAGAAGGCAATAGGGAAAGAAAGCATCTTGGAGAAATAAAATACTGCTGCCTGGTACCCCTACAGAGATATCCGGCCTATTGTGCCCAAACTGCTCCTCAGCTGAGAAACCGCAGGCTTCAGTGGGGACAAGCTCAGGCAATGATGGGAAGGAGAGGCCCCTTCTGAGAAAAACCACTTCAAGTGGAGGAAAGCCAAGATATTTTGAGATGTGATTCTGACCTGAAAATGAAAATAGGGGACAAACACTATGAGAACAGATTAGCTCATTTTTAATGCTGTTAAAATGTTGACATTGTGCCTTCCCTATAAAAGGATACTTAACCCTGAATTTCAAGAACGTGGGCAAGAATAAAAAAAGATAATTTCATGTGTCAAAAGCCAAAATCGGCCTCCTTTGTGAGACAGTAATTGGTTTTGTCAGGGGCAAAAATTATATTTAATTAAATCTTATAAGATTGGGTTCAAGTTCCACTCCTCAGAGGGTTACTTAACTGTTCCTCAATTTGTCTCATAGGTTATTGTTAAAAATAAGAACATGTCAGGTACTAAGTAAGTGCACATTATGAAAATTCTGAATGATGATTTAAATACAAATTGAATTAGAAATTAAAGATCTGGCTTCATTTCCTGTGTCACCTCATTACCATTGTATTAAGATCTGGGGGCAAACACAGAGGGTTGTCTAGCAACCATGGATTTTTTTCAATACTTTCCTTATTCTAAATATGTTGGTATGAACAGAGTCACTATCTAAATATTCAGCCACTGACAGTCTGACAGTGATCACTGAAATAGATTGTAGTTCTTTAAGACATTTATAAAACATACAACTTGAAATAGGAAAGAAATAATCTGATTAATATAATTGGATTATACAATGAACTGTAGTGTTTTCATGGCATTGGGCCAGAAAAAGAAGGAAGAAAAAGTGAGGAAATAGCTAAGGAAATTCAAGAGTCCATATTTTTATCGAAAATCTGAGCTTTAGAGGATGTGTCATTTTCAATTTTTTTCCCCCATCTCAAGAGACAGTAAGATGCGTTCCATTTGCTAGAGTAGTTCAGGAAATCTTACAAGCCACACCTCCCTTCTCACCTAGCTTAACACCTTGTAGATTTTGAGGGTCTGAAAATGAGAGGAAGAGGAATGCTTAGCATGAGATGAGGTTCTCCAGGACCGCGGGACAAGGTCGAGGAAGGCAGGATGCAGAAGTGAAAAGAAACTCACTAAAATCATTCCCTTTAAAAAAAGTTATTAGATGAAATGAAATGAATCTGCAAAGCAGCTATTTGAGAACTCTGGCCTTAAACTCAATGTCTACTTTCAATTAAACTGAAGCTCAGTCATTAGATAATCAGAATAATAAATTTTACAGAAAAACACCAAAAAAGACTCAAGTCTATATAGAAAATAATAACTCTTTTAAAAGAATATAATACCAATAAATTTGTGAGTCATTACAAGACTTGCTAGGTATGTTTACTTTGTCCTGGCGGAAGTCTTTTTAAAATGTCTCTTCGCATACCCACAGACACAGATACACATTCACACAACTCACTGATCACACTCAGAGCTTCCCTAACTAGTAATAACCTAAGAAAGAATTGAATTGACCTTTCAAATCATTAGAGAGTTGTGTGGAGTCAACTCTTGGGGCAGAAAATGGGTGATCTCACATGTTTGCAGTCAGTTAACACCTCGCTATTCTGTGGCTTTTCCTCCTTCACTGTGGTGCCCTGACTAAATTCGGTGCCACAGTCTAATAACATGTGAAATCCCATGACAGAGTGGGACGAGGGTATGGGAGTGTAGAAGGAAATGCTATTCCCATGACCTTCCACTGAAGAATTCCCTGCACTGACTTCCTGAAACTCTCCTTCTGTTTGCCTTCACCAGGAATGGCGGCCCTAGATAGTAAGGCATCAGGGAAGATGGGAATGCGAGCTGTAGTCTATTACATGACTACAACCATCATTGCCGTGGTGATTGGCATAATCATTGTCATCATCATCCATCCTGGGAAGGGGACAAAGGAAAACATGTACAGAGAAGGCAAAATTGTACAAGTGACAGCTGCAGACGCTTTCCTGGACTTGATCAGGTATGTCCTTGCAAGCCCGTCCCTCTTACTTGGAGTTAGCCAAGCGCTGGAAGAGGTGTCCAAATGAAACAGCCTTGCTGGCATATCACGCAGGTCAAATCTTTGCTTCTTTCTGGGAGAATTTAACAGGAGGCACCATTTTCTTATCTCATGGCAAAGAAGTCAGAAAGCTCTGCCTTTAGGACTCAGAATCTGCTCACCCAGTTCATCTCTCAACTGGGCAGCTCACCTGGGAATATTAATAATTCTTAACCTATTTTTCTCAGTCTTACTCTTTGCCACTAGCTTTTATTCAAAAATAGCCTGTTTATTGGACTTTTCTTATTTCGAACATGTAAGCTGTATCATCTCCCAGCATACACAATCTATTTCCAGAAGGCTTTGAGAGATTATCTAGTCAGATTTTCCATAGAGTTTCTTTTTGTGCAGTTTATGAAGAAAGGATTTGGCAGATAAGCACTAAAGCACTCCAGGACAGCTTCTTGAATGTTGTTTCATGTACAACAACACACTGATTACAAATGGGTCTTATCGCCCACTTGCAACAGCCTTGATAATAGAGTCAGACTTAACATAGAACTTTAAAGTAAGCTTGATCCTGGCCCCTTCCTACTTGCCCTCTATACCTGCCCTTATACCAGTCACATCCTGGCAGGAAAGTAGATCCATGATCAAAGGAATCATTGAAAAAGGTTTGCAAAGGTGTAGGCAGGGGTCCAACCTTTAAGGGTCCTCCAATGTGAGACTCTGGTGGGAGGGGACTAACAGCAATAAGAAGCAGTTTTGTGACCACTCCTGGCTCTGAGGGACAAAGGAAGGAGTGTAGCCTTGGAAAACTTCTCCCAGGAAAGGAGCTAAACCCCAATTTGGAGGGAAAAAATAGAGCTATACACAAGCAAGAGAGCTGAAAGAAAATACGCATCCACTACTCTTGTCTACTACCCTATCATCTGTCAGCACATCCTACTGGCATAAGAAGGCATAAGAATCCAAGTGCTACAGTCCAAGGTACTGGCCACCTAGGATACAGAGCAGGACAGAGAATGGACTAGAAGGGCAAGTGGAAGTTATCACAGTGCAGGTCCCTAGACTACCTACCTGCTTATTCCTCCATTGTGTAGCTCCCAACTGTCTTTTCTTTACAACTTACCTACAAAGTGACTCATTTACCAATCCTAGATACCTGTTCTAAAGCGCTCCCCTTTGAGCTTCTAAAAGAAACTCCTCCTACAGACTTGAAGTTACATACTATCTCAAGTAAGGGGTTAGAGTAAAGGGGTATTTGGGGAACAAAGGGTCTCTTCAGTTGCATCTCTCAGTCCCCATCATGGGTGACTTTGAATCATCTGTACGTGAGCAAACCCAGCTCCACGGAGTCTCCATTGAAAGTCTTTTCCAAGAAGTTCATCACAATGATAACAAGCCACCCTGTATGATTATTTCACATCACACCGTTACCTGGTAACGATCATTTTATTTAGACTCATAGTTTTATTTGGTTCATAGTTTATTTAGTTCTTTAAGGCTTTTCACAATTTTTTCATAAACTTTATGCTCACATAATTGGGTTTAGGAATATTCTCTCTGTTTATAATATCTACTCTTTGTTTGAAGACTTGGAATCTTGTAATTCTCAGTCTGGCTGTTCCATTACATCTGCATGTGTTTCTGCCTCCCCCTACACCCCGCCTCTTACCCGAGTAATGAGTATATGACTACACAGTGTGCACACCCTCACTGAGCTACAGCATTTATCCTGGAATCCTCTGAATTCACAGTTTCACTAAGATTTATACAAATAGACCCATAGAATAGAGATGGAAAGGAACGGGAAGCAAAGTGATCTAGGCAGTGGGAAGAAAGGGACAAGAGTTTATAACCTTAAAACATGATTTGATAACATATGAAAATGGGAATCTTGGGTTCCACAACTGCCCAGGTCATATCTCTTCCCAGTCTTCAACCTTAGAGCATTTGTGGTAGCTTAATCCAGTCTCCTCTTTAACAGATGAATCAACTAAGACCTAGGTAGATGCCATGGGTTGGTCAATGTCACACAGTTGGTTAGAGACTCTCCAATAAAGCCATGTTTCTTATCCCCTCCCCCACCTCCATAAACCGAAACACTTCTCTGAAGAACTGGCAGATCCTTAAATTCATGGACTGCAAATTCAAATTTTGTGGGTCATTTCCTCATAGGTCAACGAAGATCCTCCAACATTCTTATAGTAGCATCAACAGTGCATCACCTACCGGCTGTTAGGAAGACTTTTTGGGAAAGCAAAATTCCATAGGTTGACCATGCATTTTTAGTTCAGAACATTTGGTCCCTAGGCACATTATCAGAATATCCACTGTGGAATAGTACTTGATTGACCAAATACTTATGACAAAAGACATTTCCATTCTCATGTTGATTTTCCCTATGCATAATGATGATATAATGTCTGAACAGAGAGCCCCATTGTCACATAGAAGAGTTGGCCTTGGGACAACCCTGAAAAATGTGAACAACCCTGAAAAGTGTGCTACCCTTGGGGATGACCACATGTCATAAAATCCAAAATCTTTCCTTTTTCCATGTTCTAGTAATCGCTACCTGAGAAAGTATTTAAGACACACATTTAATATTTGAGAAATTTTTCAAGTGACTATTATTTTGTTTTCAGGAATATGTTCCCTCCAAACCTGGTGGAAGCCTGCTTTAAACAGGTAAACCTTCTACAGCCACTAATTTATCATTGAAATTCCTCTTTGGAGTTTGGAATTGCAAGTAGAGTGGTACCCCCTTTTTAAATGTATTTTTCCCCCATTTCTGTGCCGTAAGAAACATTTTGCTTGTCAACAAGACTGAAGCACTAGGTTTTTCTGGATAATTGGGGTGGAGGGTAGGATCATACCTTATACTCAAGGCTTATTACTTTGCCAGACACTACATGTCTTGCATACAAATAGCTCAGCATCTCTACTCATTGCTAAGAAATCTAGTCAGGAAACTCCCTCCTTCTCCACACCCCAGTGTTCCCAGCAAGATTTAAGGTGATTTTTAAACTTGCTTTAATGATTAGGGAGTAATTCAAACCTCTGGGTTTGATTTTTTAAAACATCAATGGGTTGTTTTGTAGAAGTCTGCTACTGAACTTCGGTATTCTACCAAAGAATAGAATCAATCATAAAAAATGAATAGTACCATATTTATTAAATACTGTCTATCTGCCAAGCACTAATTTTTTTATTCAGCCCTCATATAATGTGATGAGTATCACTTCTTTACTTCACTGATGTAACAACTTATCTGTGATAACTCAGGGGATTATATAACAGGCACAAGATGTCCCAGGTAGTAAATGGCATCCCCAGAAGCCAGTCATTATGTTAATTCCAAATTCTAGTTTCTTTCTTCTACTGTTAACATTCTGCTTCCAGATAGAGATACTGAAGTCATGGGATACCTTTCTAGAGGCTATATTGAAGTCTGCTTCCTTTTCACTCCACAGCCAAACAAATTTTAGCTCTCACTGTTTCTGATACATTTTATTACTAGAAAATAGAATCAGTCAGGTGGATTCTAACTTTACCCAAATAAAAGTGTTTTTGTTGCCCAACTTTTGAAAAAGAAACAAATAGACATTCTGAGGCAGATAACAGTTACCAAACTTTTCTCAGATTGTGTCACTTTAAGACCCTTCTTGTAATTCCCTAGCCCTTCTATTTAAGATCTATAAAACAAACAGAACAAAACCCTAACCTCATGGAAGATCAAGTTCTACACATATAAATTATCCTTTGGGCTTTTCCCCATTTCAAAACAATTTATTGACTCTCTTTAATAGGAATACATGCACACACTGCAAAATTACAAGAGTCTTTTCTTTTAAAAAAGCCTCAGAGGCTAAAATCTAGCTTTCTTTAGTCAAAAACAACTGTGACCATAAATAATAAACTCTTTTCAATCTTAACAGCCATCCCCATCACCCGGGGCACAGTTAGTAGTTGGCATCGGGAAACATTAAAAATGCTGATTTCTAGCAGTGCTGGACAAAGTGCTGACTCTGGCAGATTTATTGTGTTTGATTTTGGATTACATCGCTAAGATGCTGAACGGGAAGCAAGTGCATCTTCCCAGATCCACTTGTCTTAGACCAAAATGCAAATTTGCAGTTTCTGTGTAGGCTACAAACTGTGTTTAAGGGGAAAGAGTTGGAGGCTTAAGAAAGGTTGATCAGTATTGGAAAGTTACCCTAGGCAAAGTATAAAACACATGAACACCCCAGTGGAATAAGAAGATTTGACAGACACAAGGAGGGGCCAGTTCCCTCATTATTTGAAATTCCCATTGGTATCAACGTCTGTTCAGGGAAGTGTGTCGAGTATGGACAGATGCCCATGTCTTTGTTTGGAAAGAGTTCTCCATTGAACAACATCTCCAATTTACTCTTAGTAAAGAAGTGACTTGGCACTTCAAGTACAGCTGTGTTTTCCTCCCCTAGACTCTAGATATAATCAACATCTTTGTATTGGTATTCTCTCTGATGCATTACTACCATTCAATGAAGGTCAGGAATTCTGCTTTCAGTAAAATCATAAAGAGAAGGACTTGTGGCATAAGGCCACAGCACTGTGATAGAATCTTCTTCTATCTGGAGCATCTGTGCAGTAGAAATGGGGGAAAGATAATCTCTTGACAAGGAGAGAAACACCTCTATAGACTTGAAAAGTGGATTTTTATCACCAAGCACATCTATTCTTAAGAACTGGTAATGTCAGGAATGTCTTATGACATTGTTGTGAATATTTGTATTTATAGTTTTTTAAAGCCCACTACAGTCATGAGTTTTATATGAAAGCAAAGCACATGTGTATATATAGTTCAACACCTTCAGCTAGATAGTGATTTCCTGTCATGATTTGTGATGTATTTGGATGTTTCTGTCTGTGCTGAGGAAGTAATAAGGCTTTACCATAGATTATATATATATATATATATATATATATTACATTTATGATGATGAAGAAGACTGTAGATGGAAAGAAGAAAGGCAAGGAGGGAGGGAGAGAGGAAGGCAAGACGGAAGGAGAGAAAAAAGGTGCTTTCTATAACACTATTCTCTGAATACAGCATATTTACAATGCATACCATTGTAAAACTTTGGAACTAGAGGAAAGTATAAATACAAAAGCAAAAATCACCTTTAACCCCTCTTGTACTTTTTCTTTTGAAGTTCAAAACCAACTATGAGAAGAGAAGCTTTAAAGTGCCCGTCCAGCCCAATGAAACACTCGTGGGTGCCGTGATAAACAATGTGTCGGAGGCCATGGAGACTCTCACCAGGATCAAAGAGGAGCTGGTGCCAGTGGCCGGGTCTGTGAATGGGGTCAATGCCCTAGGACTTGTCGTCTTCTCCATGTGCTTCGGCTTTGTGATTGGAAACATGAAGGAGCAGGGACAAGCCCTAAGGGACTTTTTTGATTCTCTTAATGAAGCCATAATGAGACTGGTAGCAGTGATAATGTGGTATGTATTTCCACTCGCGATATACATGACGCTCACTATCTCACTATGTTCTGTACCAAGGAAATGTCAGTAGGCAGGATGATCAAGTGCATCGATCTCATTCTAGTAAGCACAAGAAAGGCAATGCTTTTCTGGGTCTACAATGAGCTTGAACGAATAACTGATACACAAGTCTTTCTTATCAGATTTGCTGCCTTCTTTCGAAAAGTATCAACTCCTTTACCCCATGCTGACAGGATTCCATTCTCCATTTGATATCTATTTAATTACTCACCATGTATTTATTGACTGTCTGCTATGTGCCAAGCATATGATGTCAGGTACTGTGACTATCACAATGAAGAAAACAGACAAGGAGGCCTTGAATCCCACATTCTTTTAAGGATGACAGAAAATAAAGAAATCAACCAACCATATGTTTTACTCACAGATGCTGTGAAAATAAAGTAAAAGGGCAAGTTTCTTTTATGTGGTGTGATGTGATGTGATAAAAAGTGACTGCAAGGGAGACGTAAAATTTGCTTTCGATGATGTAGAAAGGCCTCTGAGGAGATGGCTTTTTTTTTTCTTTCTTTCTTTCTTTTTTTTTTTTCTTTGCTAAGTTCTGAAAGACTAGAAGCAGACAACCATACAAAGCACCAAGAGGAGAAAATTCCCAGTACAAGGAAAAGTAAATGTAGAGGCCCCTAGAGCATCAGAAAAATTTACATCTCCTCTCCTCCATTCCAACCCTTACAAGAAAGAAATGTAAATAACTGTCCTGCATGCCCCTAGCACTCCAGGGAAGTCTAGAATGCCAAGCCAAAGCTTATTGCAAAACTGTCTTCAAATAAAATTGAGACAGGAGACAAAGGAAAAGACTGAATCCACACAGGAATACTAACCTTGGAAAGGAAACTCTCCCCAGCAGGGAGAGAACCCTCTGATTGGCTGAGGCCTCATGAGGGGGAGAGGGCTGCTTTTCCTTTATCCTTTATCCTTTATTTCATCCTTTATTTTTAATCCAGATTCCTTCTTGGCACCTGAGGCAAGAAAATATCCATTTCTAAGAAAAGCACTGGCCAACATGATTAAAAATATCCTTTGTCTTCATAGCCACCAAAGCACAGAGAAATCCATTTTTCAGGAGTCTGGACAGGATGGATATGAACTTGAGCACAAAGACCAATCAGACCGTGGTCTCCACAGGAGCCCCCAGTTGAAATCGTAGGGCCCTCCTTTGAAATCCTGGCAGGGCTGAAAGTGGACATTTATCTTCATATTATTAAAATGCCTCCACCTTTCACCCCCTTTATGAAAGAAGCCCATTCAAGACCGCTGAATGAACCTCACATGCAGCATTTCAGGCTGTACATTTACTTGTTGAGTTATTACATTTCTGAAAACAGGTACTCGTATAATTTCCTGGCCTGTGTTTTTAAAGGACTTAAAAGAAGCATTGTATTTTTCAATTTGAAATAAGCAGCCCGCCACAGTTTGCAGCAAACCCCTTCCTTAAGGGTGAGTGGCCTCTCTTCTTGAAAGCAGAGGTTGGTTGTCATTCACTGCACACATGAGACGAAAGTAGTTGAGAACCAGGTGCCCTGGCCTTGAAGCAACCAGGGTTGTTTCAATAAATGCAAGTCACTCTGTGTCTTAGTTGTTCATTCTTTCTGACCCCCAAGATAGTAGCTTCCTGTGGATAGTAACAGCTTCACTAGGACACCTATCATCTGATTGTAGTAACACACACTTGCACCCAATTCATTTTAGTAGCTCTGAAGTTCATTTTATACTTACTTCCTATTTATGGCAAGTGGTGCTAGTTTTCCCTTTGCACTATGACATGAAACTTCCTTAAGTAAATGTGTCTAAATTAAAAAGTTGATTTGAACACTACTAAGTCCTAACAGAAGTGGCATGTACTATGGAAAAAAATAAGGAAGCCATTCTCATCTTGAGAGCGCTCACAGTGATGTAAGACACTGAGGTGACATGAAATGGACAATACTTGAATTAGGGGATCAAGCTCGGATGCTAGAAGTACTCCCAAAAGTCTAGATGTTGTTTCAGGGGATGCTGGTCGTTTGGGGTACATCACAGGGCAGCCAGAGGCATCTAGAGACCAGAAAAGTGACCCCAAGGGTAGTAAGAGAGAGTCATCTTAGGGAAAAAGAGGTGAGCCACAAGATCTTCCTACCTGCCTGTTTTCACAGATTTAGGAGGGGGGAAAATTGTGACCTAGAGAAATTGGATGAGAGAAAAACCTGACTTGGTGATATCTATATTTAAATTTGTGTTTAAAAAGGACAGATGTTCACAGCTTCTGTGCATGCTAAAGCATCCTGGGCAAAACACTTAGAAATCAACTCACTGTGTCGTATCATTTGGTAATGTCTGTAGAACAGCTTGTTGGAAATCAGACTTTCAATTGTGCGTGTGTTGCTTCTATATAGGTACGCCCCTCTGGGCATCCTCTTCCTGATTGCAGGGAAAATTGTGGAGATGGAAGACATGGGCGTGATAGGCGGGCAGCTTGCCATGTACACAGTCACGGTCATCGTAGGCTTGCTCATTCACGCCGTCATTGTCCTGCCCCTCCTGTATTTCTTGGTAACTCGGAAAAACCCTTGGGTTTTTATTGGAGGGTTGCTGCAAGCGCTCATCACAGCTCTCGGAACTTCTTCCAGGTGTGTAGACATCTGCGGATTCTCCTAAAGAAAGTGCCTCTCAACCTTGACTTTGAACCAGAACCCTCAGCTTAAGAGTAGCAGAAGGTTTATTGTTTTCCCCTTGGGTTGCGGGGGGAGGGGCTCAATATCCAGACTCAGAAATTGGCTTAGTCACTTCCAATGTTTATCAGCCCTATTTGGGATTTGGGAATAGTGGGCTATCTCCTCTTGGCCCACTATTACTGCCTCCCGCCCTTCTAGTTGGCATCTGCCAGAGGAAGCCATGGCAGAGCAGCTCTCCCCTGGCTGCTGTGATGAGGGGCTGATCACAAGCAATGTTTCACAGAGGAACCCAGAAGCAGGCAGCTGCCGAATGACTCAGGGAAGGCCCCTCACTGTTCCTAACCCTGCTCCCCTGTTTATACAAGTGCTGACTTAGTTCCCTTTAAATCAGGACATGGGAGAGGAAGGAACACTCTGTTCCAAATGCCAAACACACATACGCTGTGTGAACTGCCCGGACAGTCAGCTGACATGCCACTTTACTGTTCTCAGTTCTGCCACTCTACCCATCACCTTCAAGTGCCTGGAAGAGAACAATGGTGTGGACAAACGCATCACCAGATTCGTGCTCCCGGTCGGGGCCACCATTAACATGGACGGAACTGCCCTCTATGAGGCTTTGGCTGCCATTTTCATCGCTCAAGTAAACAACTTTGACCTGAATTTTGGACAGATTATTACAATCAGGTACAGGAACAGTCCTACTCAGAGTTTTCTTCAGAATGACTTTAAACAAAGAGCTGGGATCTGGGTAAAGAAACTGGATGGGAAGGAGATCACGCGTAAATAAGGTTCTGGGGGTTGTGAGAGTAGTTTTATTTTTGATATTTAGATTTTTTCTTTTTAAAAAAAATTACAGAAGAACATCATTATTAATAATGAATTTCTAATAATAGAGAAATATATAAAGTTAAAAGTGAAATTTGCCTGCCAAGGTCACTCTTCATCTTTTTATATGTGCCCACAGGCATGTAAATGGCATTTCCACTTCTGGAACTAATCAGACCTATTTGGGATTCAGGAAATGGTGCGCTATATACTCTTTGTCCACTGCCATTAATGTTTGGTGTAGAAAGACCTTTTTTATGCATAGACAGACATGCACGGTGTTTTTCATAATTCATGGAGTCACACCATTAATTAATTATGTGGCAACCAAGTTTGCCACCTGATTGATTTGCCAGTCATACCATCTATAAATATATCCAACTTCTTCTATTTAAAATCTGCTGAACATGTAGTATGGGAATATCTTTTCTAAGTCAGATCAGATTTCAATTGTTAACTTTTATTAACAGCATTGAAAAACCTGAACATTTGCTTGGGATTAAATTTTAGGCTGTCTCACATAAATAACAAACCACACTGGTAAGTAGGTTGAGAATATGACTTCCGTGGACTTTTTAACTACTACATATGAGTTATGTAGTAAAAGTTAGTTTTCCCTCCCACACCTCCTAATCTCCTAGTTACATCGCCCGAGGTAACTACTAGTCTTTCCTATTTTCTTGTGTACCTTTCTGGAGTTACCCACCCACGTCCATGTGAGAATACAACACCCTCTTTATTTTTTCCTGAAGGTCAGTAGCACAAAAGGTCAGTGCTGACCTTAAGTATCACAATTCATATCAGACCCTGCTCTTTGTATATGTCTGCATGCGTTCACTGTTATTAGCAATTTGTCTTGGAGATCAAAATAGATGATATATATTTTCACAACCGTTTATCATAAAAATTATCCTATTGAAAGGTTGAAAGAATATTTCAGTAAACATCTACCTGGATCTAAGAGTTAATTTTTTTTTCACTATTTTTACTTCTCTATTCTCTTGGTCTCTGTCTTTGTGACATTTTACTTTTGTAGTTCTGTGTTCATCTTCTAAGAATAAGGAATTGTTCCGACATAACCATAACAGTATCTAAATATTTCAGAACATCCAGTCTACATTCAAATTTTCCCAACTCCAACATATTTTTCATAGTCTTTTCCCCCAGATAAAGACCAAATCTAGCTTTGTAGCTTGTATTTGATTTTTATATCACCTTAGTCTTTTTTAATTTCTACCAGTTCCCCCACATATTTGTATGGGTCTACATATTTAGTTAGAAATAAATCTGTTGTATGCCTGGCTAGTGCAGTTGGTAGAGCATGAGACTCTTAGGAATAAGCTATATTAGGGGTCTTCCTGGTGCCAAAAGGGGTTAAAGTGCAGCACCAGGAAGCTAGCTGCAGCCACTGCAGCATGAGTTCCATCCCCGGCCAGGGAGGAAACCCACATGGCACAGCAGACCTCTCCTGTCTCACCTGCTGCTCCCCTCAGCAGTGTACTTGGTCAGCCTGCCTGTTCTGCTCCCCACTCTGTCTCTGGTGAATCCTCTCACCACCACCTCCCAAAACCTCTGACTCTTGTATGCATAAATAAATCGATAAATCTTAAAAAAAAAAAAAAGAAGTTGTATTAGATTCCATATGTATGCTTTGTATTATAGGAAAGTGATAATAGTTGTTGGATACAATGGGGTGAAAAAGAGGAGGCTGATTGTGACCAGAGGTGACTGGCCTGTCTGTTCTAGGAGGTCCAGGCCTAGACTAGCAAAAAGCCCAGCAGGGAGAACTGTGTCCAAGCTCACTTGTAATTTATTCTTGGACATATGGTGGTAAACTGGCTAAAAATCCTAAGTTCTAAAAAAGATTCAATTGCATGTGACCGAGTTTAAAAAAAGAAGAGTGCCTTCAAAAAAGTGGAGTTATGCTTCTCTCTCAGAGCCACCACTCTGCTCCACAAAACCTCAAGACTGAGGCTGGTGGGTCATCATCCCTGGGGTGTTGTGCTCATCCCTGGGGTGTTGTGCCACCCCCAAATTTTAGCCAATGGGAGAAGGTAGAGTAACATAACCTGCGAGTTACTGGTTCACTGTCCTTGTATCTCACTGGCCAGAATATCTCTGTCCGGATTTATTACTATGCTAGTATCAATTCTATCTAGGCAATAGTTTACTCTTTCTAAAACATTTTCACATGTTCACACCACATTATTAGATGCATATTTAGCAAGGAGAGTCCCAGATAAGTTATGTACCTCATAAATCAGATCCACACTACCTCAGAAAAAAAATGTCCATAGTGCTACAGGAGTTTGTCCTTAGATTAATAACTCTGATTTTGTTTCTGGCCACACCAATCATACAACTTCAGTGTCTTTACAGGCCTGTACTGGCATAGAGAAAAAACTAGACAATCTGTTATTGGAACTACGGTATTTTAGAATTTACCAAGCATTTTCAGGTAGTGAGAAAGAAGATATCAGTTACTTCACTTAAAAATGACTGTAATGGGGCCCTCCCTGGTGGCGCAGTGGGCTAAAGCACAGCACTAAGAAGCTTAAGCCCACTTCCGCGTGAGTTCGATTCCCGCCTGCCCCGGAGGTGACCACATGGCGCGGCAGACCTCTCCTGACCCGCCCGCTGCTCCCCTCAGCAGTGTACTTCGTAGATCTGCCTGTTCTGCTCCCCACTCTGTCTCTGGTGAATCCTCTCACCCACCGCATCTCTGGCCTGTGCCCCAGTTCTGTATGAATAAATAAATCTTTAAAAAAAAAAAAATGACTGTAATGATGGGACCAACTTCCTTACATGCTTGATAAATATTAGTTGTATTATTACCTCTGGGTTTTTTTGTTTTATCAGGGTCTCATTTACATTCCCTAAAGCGCATTCTTCTCTGTTATCTGGGCAAGGCAGGCATGTTCTCCGTACTTATTTTGCAGGGTATCCTATTTGGGTTTATAAAATTGTTTTCTGTTTCGCTACTTCTTTTAATAGCATCACAGCCACGGCCGCCAGCATCGGGGCAGCTGGGATTCCTCAGGCGGGCCTGGTCACCATGGTCATCGTGCTGACATCTGTGGGCCTGCCCACCGACGACATCACCCTCATCATCGCGGTGGACTGGTTCCTGTAAGTACGCTGACGCTGGGCTCCCGCATTGGCAGGGCCAGTCTGTCACCTCTGGGCGCCAGGCAGCCTGGCACCTCTGCCAGAGAGCTCCTCACAAACAGGAGGGGCAGCTTGGCCTGTGATTAAATTGTCTTTTTGCCCAAGTCCTGCCCTTATCTGGAGACCAGCCATAGATGCATGCCCCATGAGCCTTATCAGCCCACGGGGCACATCTGGAGGCTACAATTCGCACCCCATAAAGTCATTCAGGGATTGGGAAACCTGATGTCTGCAAAGCCATCATAAATCAGCAAAACTGTTCCTAAATTGCACAACACGTCCCCACAGCGGCCGGGACAGAACTGCGGGCCTCACACGCTGGCTCAGCTGTCCTCCCTGGGCTTCCCATTCCAATGGCGTAATGCAGCACAGATGGACCCTCAGAGCCCAAGCAGGACAGTGGGACGACAGCTAGCGTCATTCATGGACCGATTTTGATTTGGGGCTCTGGGGAAACTTCCAAGTACCCACCACACACTCGAACCCCTACCTCTCTAGGACCCTTGCTGTCCTGAATCTCTGCCTCTTTCGTCTCATAAGTTCCCTTCCACTTTCAAAAGTTTCAAAGGATGCTCTATGTGAATGTCTACAAGGATCCTGTAGGTGCTGGAGTGGTCACATGTTAATTGCATTAGATCCAGTTCCCCCAACACCCCCCCCCCCCCAAGAGCCCAACAGTGCAACTGATGCATGGTGGGGAGGAGAATCAGCTGTGATCCTCTGTTGCAGTCATTTGGATTGTGCAGGACCCTCAGTCTCACCCCGCAGGCTCCCCAGCCACCCTGCTTCCTCCTGCACCCACGACCATAGGTTATCTACCTCCTGGTTTGCAGTGAGGATTAAATGCACTGAAGCAGGCATCAGACTGCCTGGCCCATAGTCACTAGTCAACCAGTGTGAGCATTTTTCGAATATACAGTTGTGGTTTCCAAAGCTCTTGGTGTCAGCCAGCCTGTAGACTCGAAAATTATCAGGGATTCAAAAAGCTTTTATCTATGTGGGTCATAGCTATAAGCATCATACTAGAAAAACTGAAGAATTTTTAGAAGTTTCCACATTAACATGACTAATATTTTTATGAAAAATGCCCTTTTCCAAACCAAAAATTTAGGGTGAGGAATGGTACCACTTTACATTTTTACAAATCTCCTTATCCAGATCACCTAATCCAAAACAGCTGGAATCTCCTAACCACTTCTGCATTCAATCTGCTGTGATATCTTTTGTCTTGTGCCATAATCTTTGCAAAACTTCACTAAATTCATGGGAAAATGGGAGTGAAGAGGGAAAACAACATCATAGCATTTTTATGAAAATAGCTTTCACCAGAGACCTCCAGTGAGTCTCCGGACTACACTTTGAGATTTGCTGCTAGAAAGGAAAGTGAGTTGTAGGGAAAAGAATCAATGAGAAATTTTAAATAAAAGGGGAGTGGGAAGGGCCACCCCCTTCTAACTTGGCATGCTAACTGTATAGACTGGTTGCTGAGAATCACTGATCTCTAGTCCTAATAACTTAAAATTACTATTATAAAAGTTACACCTATTATGTAATCATGTAGTTGGTAAATATAACAACTGCATTTTAAGAGGCACCTCTGAAGACTAACTGGCTGGTTGAGAACATGAACTGTTCCTCCTTCCTCCCACCTTCCCACAGGGATCGCCTACGGACCACCACCAACGTGCTAGGAGACTCCCTGGGAGCCGGAATTGTTGAGCACCTGTCACGACATGAACTAAAGAACAGAGATGTTGAAATGGGTAATTCAGTGATCGAAGAGAATGAAATGAAGAAACCCTATCAGCTGATAGCCCAGGAAAATGAATCTGAGAAGCCCATGGACAGTGAAACCAAGATGTAAACTAACAACAAGAAATGCTTTCTTGAGCACCAGGTGTTTGAAAACCATTATAAAATGTTTCTATCCCATTACAGCTCAATCTCTCCAGTAAACCTATACCTTCCTTTTCCTCCACTCTGACAGGATTGGGAGGTATTTTTCGAAATACAAGGGAGGAGTCTGCAGTGGCCAAAATGTATAGTTTTCATTCAAAATTTCATTCAAAATTCATTTGAAATTTTAAGTCATTTCATGTTAGTCTTATCTAATAAGGTACTGAAGTCAAAAATAGTCTTGATCAGATCGTACACATTTATGTGGCACACCATCCTGTAAATGTGACTTTTTTTATAAGTGGAAGAGTCAAATAAAAGGCAAAAATGCTTTTAAATCAACTTTCAAAGTTTAAAAATTTTTCAGAGTGCAATTCAGTGTTAGCATCAAAATGAAACAACTGGATAAACTAAATTGGCTGTGTGCTGGACAGTGGAAGGGAGTTTTCCTTTTCTCTTCTGACAGGTCCTTATTTTACAATATGCATACAGACCTAGCAAAGCTGCAAAGAGGCACATATAATAAATTTTCTATGTGGCCTGAGGCAAGCCACTTCTCATTTCTACGTCTCAGTTTCCTCCTCTGTAAAATGAGAAAGTTTCCTTGCTGCCTTTTATGGTCTCTCCCAGTCCAGGCATCCCGCGGCAAGATGAGTAAGCCTGCCCTCTATTTTCTCTCTGAATATCGAGTAGAAAGTATCATTCCATAGAGCATGAAAAAGGCCTTTTTTTGGGAGAATGAACATTTGAAGTAGGGGCCTGACAACTGCGTGGTTTACCAGGACCTGTGTCCAAAATGTCAGTCATCCAAGCCACCAGGCCATTTCGGCAGTGAGTCTATCGTGCCGCTTTTCACTCAGTTCTTTCCAACAGGAAAATATCCCCTTCTTTCCTACTCTCCCCAATCTGAAGAGAGTGTTCTGGGAAAGTGTCTCCCAGCACTCTTCAACTGATGCTAGACTTTCAGAAAATCAAAAGACTAGCAGCTAGCAAGGATGCACATGGTCTTACTATGGAACACTGAAGAGCCTGCTCTGAAAGAATGGCTCGGATTGACATTATAAAGAGTTTTTTAAAACATCAGTCTAGAGGTTATCCCTAGGAGAGGTTCATCTGTGTGGATTTCAGGTTAACCTGAAATCCATTTTCTCTTTAGTTCAGAATCGTTTCCCAAGGAAGTCTGCACGTCATGGTATAAGTTCATTTCTTATATCTTTTAAAGGAGTCTCATGAATGAGCTCTCTCTCAGAGATCTGTGAGCTGGGTGGGTGGTCTCTTCTTTGAAAAGGTTTTTGAGCATAATCATAAGTTCTTAGAATGAGAGAAACAAGGCATTTCTTTGTGCTGGAATTCCACTTACCAAGTCATTCAGGACTACCCACCACAGTCAGGTTCGGGTTGGTTTGGTTCGTGGGTTGGTTCATGTCCTTGAGAGAGATGGTAGGAATTAAATTAGTGTGAAGACATTGTCAGTAGAGTTCCAAGAAAAGGAAAAGCAGGGACATTAGTTTCAGGTAAGGCAGCTCCAGGTTTATAGCAAATTCATTTTTTAACCATGAAGGAATTCCATGCAATCATTGCAGAATGAAAGTTGTCAAACAATAGCAGCTGTGTTTGATGGAAAATGGTAAAGAATGGACATAATTATGCTAACAGACTGAAAATATAGACATGCATCCTCTGATATACAGGTAGAGATATTTTTATTTAGATTCCAAGCATTACGTGTGTACAAAAGTTAACATTAGGCCGTGGTGAATAACCATATAATGGTGAAGTTCTCTTTGGGAAGTATACACTATGAAAGTTAATGTACGTGGCTGTTATGACATCAGTAGAGCAAAAATTAATCATGTCAAATTAATTCTGTTACATGGTGTGATCTGTTTTTATACTAACCACTTCTTATGGAAAGCAGATCCTCTAGGGTGATCGTCTTGACAGCCCATCACCGGCTCTGTATACTCATGCACCCAGAGTGGACCGAGAAGCATTACTTTGTAGATGTATTTTCAATAAAGAAAAAAAAAATAGTTTTACATGACAAATTGTGCATATTGTTGTTATTCTTCTCCTGGAAGGAAAACAAATTTTCCTTTCATGAAATGAGTGCAATGAGCTCATGCTTCAGAAAGATGGCAGGCACTAAAGTAAAATCTTAGAAGGACTAGCAAGAAGAGCCAGTGCAAGCAAACAAGTAAGGATTCACTGCACCTGCACGCTCTCCAGGCTCAACTTCTAGAAACAGAGGCAGAGGGAGAAGTGAGCAAAGCAATTTGCTCTAGCAGCCTGTACCTCCAGCCACAGCAGATCCAAACGTCTCAGTAAATGCAATCATTTCCATGTTAGGATTAGGAAAATATCATGTCACCGTTGGTTCTTCCAAAGAAGTAATTTTCTGTGTGACCTTCAAATTAGATAGATTTATCTGTGTGAGTACTACTGCTGTAAGAAGGGTGGAGGAAGAGCCCCAGGGAGATTTCAGAAACAGCCATTATGTTAGTGAACCATTTAGTCCTGTTCATGAAGAACAATGTATGGATTCCTTTTTGTTCCATCATGCTTTCTAATAAAGAACTAGCAGGAAACTTGAGTGCTCTGACAGGGAACTTGTGTTGGGACTCTTTAACCTGACCCTCTACCTGCAGGTGGCAGTCACCTAGAGGGGAAGCCCTTTGGATCAAAATCTTGACAACCCACCATTTGATCAATTTATCCTAACGTTTCCCAAGACATCTGTGCTATTTGAACTGCTGGTTGGGGAAGAGGAAGCATGCTGCTGACAGCCTGAGGAAGCATATCAACTCCAGCCCCCACCCCCAGGGAATCCATAACTGCACACCTGTGGGGTTTGTGGACACAGGATTCAGGATAGTGCTAGCAAGTGCTGCCTGCTGCAGTCTCCAGTTTTCTTTCTGCAGCCTAAGCTGAATTTCACCCCCAAGCACCCACCCCTTACAAACTGCTCAGGCCTGAGAAGGTGGTGTTACTCAGCCTGTAGATACCCATTTCGGCTGAGAGACAACTGTTCCAGGTGTCACTAAGAGAGAGGGAGCCACACGTGGCCACAGATCTGTTCACAAATAGAACTATGAAAAATGTTCAAGTTAACATTTTTAAAATATTGCCGATGAGCAAGTGCATTCCTAACAAATTTGTTTTAATTCTACACTTTGAGCAGGTGGGGGTCTACATGTTCCCCTTCTCTCTATTCCTTCAGCACCACGTCCTACCCCAAGCAGGATTCCCTTTTCCAAGCTGTCTCACTTTGTCTCACAAACTATTAAGACTTTGTTCATAAACGCCATGCTGAAAACAGATTTCGGCGCTGTTAATGTGGTGTGTCTGGAAGGACCCAAGAGGAAAGGCTCCTTTGCACAGAGCCAAAAAAAGGAAGAAGCCTCCCCCGGAAGCCAAGAACCCCGAACCCCTTTCCGGGCAGCCCTCTGGGCTCTTGACCCGAGGCTGCTGTCAGTCATAGGGCCTCCCAGGCGGCCTGCCCTTCTGCTACCGGGTGGTCCCAGAACCAGGGCAACAATGACCAGCTCTGTGTGGCCTGATCCCCAGGCCTGGAGCAGTTGGGAGGTGTCAACTCCCAGCTTGTCGAATGAATAAGCCGACAGAAAAGGAACAAGGAAGCAAGAGCAAAGGAAGCTGATGGGCAGCGTTCTAAGAAGTAGCAGAGACATCTCTAGGGTAAACGGCAGGGCTTGGGGAGCGATACCCACAAGGGCCACTAGGAGGAGCCAGAGCTGTTGGCAGGACTGAACTTCCTCTTAAAGTGAATTCTGGGGTAAGCACGAAAGGAATTTCAAGGTCTGCAGTGCTGAGAATCAATATGTGAAAACCTTCAAGGGATTTAAAATCCTTCAGTGCCCCCATTTTCCTTTTCTGTGTGGTCACCCTGCTTCTCCAGTAACCTCTCCCCAGGAGACTATATTGATGGAGGAAAGAATAAAAAGGAGACATCACAATATTGACTCACCCTGGGAGTTGGGTAGAAGGGATTAGCATAGCCATTGACACCGCAGTAGAAATCTAGATCCTCAGGCGCAATGCCTGGGTGACAGAGCGAAGATCTAAGCAGATAGCTGACAGCTGAGGGCAGTATCTAGAGCACAGGCCCCAAAGGTGAAAGATAAAGATATGGAGATGGAGCCCAGTGTGGAATCTCCTGTTCCTTTCAGATTCTATTCAATATCAACAAACCTAGGCTCACAAGGAGTGAGCCCCTGCCAAATAGAAGATGTCTATGCCAGGGCAGTCTTCTGCCCACCTGTGACTTTGCAGGTGCATCTTTCCACCCATTCTCTCCCTCTGCAGGGCAGCAGCCTCCTGCCTGCCTGTGACCTGAACCTGCCAGGACCTCTCAGCCACACTAACCTCCCTCAGTGGAGGCCGCTCTCCTAAGGCCTCCTGCCTGCAACCATGCAGGTCTCTCTGCAACCTGTCCATTCCTGGGCAGCTCTCCCTGCCTGCTTGTGCTTATGCAAGTGGCCAATGCTACTGTCCTTTTCCCTAATACACCTGCTCTTTAAATATAACTGGGTCTCTGTCTCATGGAGAAACTCAGGGGGGAATTCGCCACATGCGGTTGAAAGGGGAGCTCTGGTGAAAACTTTCCCAGCACGAACCCCAAGGACCCCCCTCCCCCCACCACTAACTCCCAGAAAATGACATCAGGACCTTCTCATTTCAGTTCCCCAGTGCCAGGGCGTCCTTTGTCTCTCCTCCCACCTTCTTCTTTGCCATCCCTTTCTGGGACCTCTGGCTTCCATTCCATCCTGGCACAGGTACTCAAGAAAGCAGAATCTACCCTCATAACAACCACAAAATTGCTGTTTCAACCTTCGCTTTGCAAACTGTCACATTTTATGAAGCTACACATATGAGCAGGGTTGTGAGATACAACAGGACATCCAGTTCAGTTTGAATTTCAGATAAGTAACATTGCCGAGTATTAAATAAATCTAGGTATGTCCAAAAATATTACATAAGGCAAAGTAGATTTTTATTTGTTAATGCGGCAACCCTATATCATAGTGAAATGAAAAATTCAAGGCAGTTTATTTGCCTCAGTGAAGTTATTAAAGGTGAAAGAATTTATGTGATTATTAAAAATAATCATCCTAGGCCCTCCCTGGTGGCGCAGCGGGTTGAAGCACAGCACTGAGAAGCTAAAGCCACTTCAGTATGAGTTCAATCCCCGCCTGCCCCGGAGGTGACCACATGGCGTGGCAGACCTCTCCTGACCCGCCCACTGCTCCCCGCAGCAGTGTACTTTGACTATCTGCCTGTTCTGCTCCCCACTCTGTCTCTGGTGAATCTGTTCACCGCCCCTGCACATCTGGCCTGTACCCCAGTTCTGTATGCGAAAATAAATAAATTAAAAAAGAAAAAAAATCATCCTAACTTTTTCTCTCTGCAGGCAACACCCCCCCCCCAAATTATTAAAAGGCAGTCCAGATCTGTTACATTGCTTTTTTTATTAGTTTGGGGGGGGGCATTATCACTCATTATGTGCTTGTAAATCTTGTGGCTGCACTTAAAAACCCTGAACAATCACCTTTAAGACTTCACAGACGGTCTTAAGCAAAGTGTTTCAGTTATCCACACCTAAAATATTTTTAAGACTCACATCTGTTTTTCTTTTCTTCTCTTTCCTTTTCTCCCCACTTTCCTTCTCTCAGTTCTTACTCAGCCCCCACTCCCCCTCTCTAAACAGAAAATATTTTCTGTAATTCATTACAAGGCTGAAATCATTGGTATTCACATATTTTTTTCCCCAGTGATTAACACATTTTTTCATTTGGGGTGCTCCTTTTAGAAAAGCGCCCATGTTTTTTTCATATGTGCTATTCAAAGATCATCATTTTCCAATCATCATAAAGTGGGGAATGAAGCATTTTTCCAACTCGCTCCAGGGAACTCCAGCCTCTACACATGGGCATCATCCCTACCTAAGCCCCTTCCCCAGCTGAGGCTGAGGAATAGGAAAAGCAAGACCTGTCTGCTACAACTGGAGGAAGAGATGTTTCTTCCCCAGTAACCATTACACAGGTGCATTGTTACAGACAGAAAAGAGCTTAGAGAAATGCTGTCAGATGATTCCTCTGGATCATCTCTAGGTTCAATGGATCATAAAATATCCTGAGAGCATCCAGCCAGGAGCTTGAAGATCTAGCAGAAAAAAAATAAAGATCATCCAAGAGTCTGCTCAGCCCCAAAAAGGAACTGATGATGGATCTACCCTGGGGAGAGCTTAGCACTCAAAGATTCTGTCAGCAGCACAAGACTGAAAACTGTCACCAAATTCCACCTCCTTCACACTGCAGTGTCTCCATGAAGCATTGTTTCATTTAAGCTGCGACCCAGCTACTAATTGACAAGGGAGAAAACTTACTCAAGAAAGTTCTCATGTGTGGGGACTGAATGGACCCAACCCATTTCCAAATCCCCCTATCATGGAGATGTTAGTTCCTATGGTCAACTATGTTTGGCAAATAATAGATTTAAGTTCACTTTCGTCATATAAATGAATGTCATAAATATCTTCTTTATGAAGGTGTGAGTCATAAAATCTTCAGCATAGTGCCTGGCACTTGGGAAGATTCTTAAGAAGTTTAGAACAAAACCAACTCAATGAAGGAGGAAGAGGCGTGGGGGTGATGCTGGAGGTGGGGAGAGGGGCCCCTGCTCCATCCTGTGCCACAATAAGCAGAATGGAACTCCCGGGAAGGCCACCGACCTCATAGACCTTAGGGAGGAAGGCTTTGCGGAGGCTGGTCACCCCTGGAAACTGGCATCATGAGAAACTGCCAGGCCTCTTCACTCAGGGGCGCAGGCCTCTGCCCCATGAACTCCGGCAGCCCCTGCCAGGCTCCTGTGAGGCCTTTTGTCAGGCCGGGCTCCCCCAACCGCCCAACACTGCATGGTGGTTTTGTGTAGTGCACAATTCCACACTCTGAGGAGACCACCCAGCTTCCTCCCTAGTCTCCCAGGGAATAAAACTGCCCTGGGT